GGTGTACACGGTACGCAAGACACAGGTGGGGTGGTGTACACGGTATGCAAGACACAGGTGGGGTGGTGTACATGGTACGCAAGACACAGGTGGGGTGGTGTACACGGTATGCAAGACACAGGTGGGGTGGTGTACATGGTACGCAAGACACAGGTGGGGTGGTGTACACGGTACGCAAGACACAGGTGGGGTGGTGTACACGGTATGCAAGACACAGGTGGGGTGGTGTACAAGGTACGCAAGACACAGGTGGGGTGGTGTACACGGTACGCAAGACACAGGTGGGGTGGTGTACACGGTACGCAAGACACAGGTGGGGTGGTGTACACGGTACGCAAGACACAGGTGGGGTGGTGTACACGGTACGCAAGACACAGGTGGGGTGGTGTACACGGTACGCAAGACACAGGTGGGGTGGTGTACACGGTACGCAAGACACAGGTGGGGTGGTGTACACGGTACGCAAGACACAGGTGGGGTGGTGTACACGGTACGCAAGACACAGGTGGGGTGGTGTACACGGTACGCAAGACACAGATAAGGCAGTGGTGTGATAAAGTACGCCAAGCGCACCACATAAAACAAAAACAAGATGAAGTTCCAGTGGTGTGTATCAGTGGGTGAGAGAGAATAAAGTTACCCAGCTCGTGTACAGGTAAGTTCACCTCGTATACTGTACACATGGACCTCACCATCATCCACATAGCTCTTTTGATACTAACAAAGAACTATTTCACGATTCCCGTCTAAATACATTGGCATGTAATTTGCACCTCTCATATTTTTATATGCACAAAACATCTGAACCTTATCCCCTTAAAGCTATGGCCATGCATAGCTTTAAGAAGAGGTACGACAAGGCTCTTGAAGCCAGGAGTGGACGTAGTAGCGACCAGAGAAGTGGCAGGGCCAGGAGCTGTGAATCGACCCCTGCAACCACATATAGGTGAGTACACACGTGCGCGCACACACACACACACACACACACACACACACACACACATCAACACACATCTCATCAACAGCAACCAACATGGTTTCAGGGACGGGAAATCCTGTGTCACAAACCTACTGGAGTTCTATGACATGGTGACAGCAATAAGATAAGAGAGAGAGGGGTGGGTGGATTGCATTTTCTTGGACTGCAAGAAGGCGTTTGACACAGTTCCACACAAGAGATTGGTGCAAAAACTGGAGGACCAAGCAGGGATAACAGGGAAGGCACTACAATGGATCAGGGAATACTTTTCAGGAAGACAGCAGCGAGTCATGGTACGTGGCGAGGTGTCAGAGTGGGCACCTGTGACCAGCGGGGTCCCACAGGGGTCAGTCCTAGGACCAGTGCTGTTTCTGGTATTTGTGAACGACATGACGGAAGGAATAGACTCTGAGGTGTCCCTGTTTGCAGATGACGTGAAGTTGATGAGAAGAATTCACTCGATCGAAGACCAGGCAGAACTACAAAGGGATCTGGACAGGCTGCAGACCTGGTCCAGCAATTGGCTCCTGGAGTTCAATCCCACCAAGTTCAAAGTCATGAAGATTGGGAAGGGCAAAGAAGACCGCAGACGGAGTACAGTCTAGGGGGCCAGAGACTACAAACCTCACTCAAGGAAAAAGATCTTGGGTGAGTATAACATCAGGCACATCTCCTGAAGAGCACATCAATCCAAATAACGGCTGCAGCATATGGGCGCCTAGCAAACCTCAGAACAGCATTCCGACATCTTAATAAGGAATCGTTCAGGACCCTGTACAACCGTGTACGTTAGGCCCATATTGGAGTATGCGGCACCAGTTTGGAACCCACACCTAGCCAAGCACGTAAAGAAACTAGAGAAAGTGCAAAGTTTGCAACAAGACTAGTCCCAGAGCTAAGAGGTATGTCCTACGAGGAGAGGTTAAGGGAAATCAACCTGACGACACTGGAGGACAGGAGAGATAGGGGGGACATGATAACGACATACAAAATACTGAGAGGAATTGACAAGGTGGACAAAGACAGGATGTTCCAGAGATTGGACACAGTAACAAGGGGACACAGTTGGAAGCTGAAGACACAGATGAATCACAGGGATGTTAGGAAGTATTTCTTCAGCCACAGAGTAGTCAGTAAGTGGAATAGTTTGGGAAGCAATGTAGTGGAGGCAGGATCCATTCATAGCTTTAAGCAGAGGTATGATAAAGCTCATGGTGCAGGGAGAGTGACCCAGTAGAGGCCAGTGAAGAAGCGGGGCCAGGAGCTATGAATCGACCCCTGCAACCACAACTATGTGGGTACACACACACACAAAACAAGGCAAATGTCTATCGAGAAGTGCCTTTTACAGCTGGTAACTAACACACACACACCCTACCTGGAGGGTGTTCTGGGGATCAACGCCCCCACGGCCCAGTCCTTGACCAGGCCTCGCAGTGGATCAGGGCCTGTTTCAACCAGGCTGTTGCTACTGGCCGCACGTAATCCAACGTACGAATCACAACTCGGCTGATCTGGTATTGACTTTAGGTATCTGTTCAGCTCCCTCTTGAAGACAACCAAGGGGTCTTTTGGTAATTTTCCTTATGCCTGGTGGGAGGCTGGTGAACGGTCTTGGGCCCGAGATACTTATTGTGTTTTCTCTTAGTATACTCATGGCGCCCCTACTTTTCATTGGAGGTATTTTGCACCGTCTGCTCAGTCTTTTGCTTTCGTAGGGAGTGATTTTTGTGTTCAGATTTGGGACCAGTCTCTCTAGGATTTTCCAGGTGTAGATTATGTTGTATCTCGCCTGCACTCCAGTGAGTACAGGTCGAGTGCTTCCAAGCGTTCCCAGTAATTAAGGTGTCTGACAGAACTTATATGTGCCTTGAATGGTGCTGTTAGTATACAGCAGTATTCCACTTTACTAACCTGTTTATATATAACTCACAAAATCGTACTAACATGACTGCAAACAAGCCACGGTGCGGGTGGGATTAGAACCCATGGCAAGTGAGTCATTAAAATTATACATCAGTGCGTTAAGCCACTGTGCCGGAAGGCTTATGCACTGGCCTGGAGTTTTACGACTCACTCGCAGATAATTAGGGATAATAACAAAGATCTATAATTATTATATACAATATTCTTTTAACTTGTGTACAAAATCATATACCATTACACTCTTATGACACTAAACCTATGTGTAGGGTAGGGAACTGATGCAAGTTATGTCAAGTGTGATTACACACTCGAAATCACCACCACCAGTATTCCACTGCTCGTAACTTGCACCAGCTACTCAAGCCTATCAAGGCTAGGTGTGGGTGCTCGTGGCTCGGTAGTATTCTCAGCTCACACACTGAAGGACCGGGGATGGATCCCGGCATGGGTGAAACGTTAGGCATGTTTCCTTATTCCTGGTGTCACTGTTTACCTAGCAGTAAGTAGGTACCTGGATGTTAATCGACTGTTGTGGGTTGCATCCTGGGAAGAAAATTAAAGGACCCATTTTAATAAGACAGACAATCCCTGATGATGCATTGACTTCATTGGGTTATCCTGAATGGCTATCCTTCCGGGTTAAAAAAAAAAAAAAAAAAAAAAAAAATCTTGTCCTTTTCCTGGACCGTCCTGGTTCCTCACTCCCTTTAACTCCCCCGACTGTTTCTCTGCTGACCTCTTATCCAGGTTTAACTATCTGATAGAAAGTCATTCCCGTGGGAAGAATCTACACCTGGTCTTCTACCATGCTAGGGGTCTCATACAGATCTAGGAAAGGCATAACAGTTATCACACTCGGTAAGCCTATCTATACCTTCGGCCAACAAGACACATGAACCTCGGGATTAACACTGATGGACATCGATCCCACAGCTGCCTTAGCTGAAACAAGTGACTATTTACACACAAAAACATAAGAGGGCTGTTTCAACAGTTCCTATACTTCACAGTCCTCAAGAAGCAGGCTCTCACAGGATTATATACGCCAAGAAGTTTCTTAAAAGGTGGTTTTTTGATGCCGGTGAGGGGTTCTTGATGCATGGAACTGGACCTGCCCTCTCCTTCCTTGGATTAAATTTGATTGCCTATTATTTCTCCAAGTGTTGTATGATTCCTGTGTGTTTAGCGTTGCCACCTAAATAAAATAATGTCGAGGGATGTATAACTCTCATTATACATACATGGAAAGTTTTCTTCCATCGTAATATGCGGTTGTCCGGTCCAGGTGGCTCGTACAGTCGATAGTTAAGCAGCAAATTAACTAAGTTAACACTCAGTCTGAAAATTAACATACCTCCACAATAACAGTAAAATTTAATTTAAACTGTTGATACGTCTAGGACGAAACAGGGTATATACACTAAGATGCGTTTGTCTCGCAGCGTATCTATGCTGAGAATTTACTTTAATCTATTTTAGGGATTAAAGTGGTCTTATCTTGTAGTGAACAGGTAAGGTGCAGCTCGTGTAGTCGATAGACTTTAAACCCCATTAAGCAAATAACCAACCTAGGGCGAATGGACAGCTAAAATAATGATGTCGATAAACTGTCACTCTACTGATAGTTTATCAACATTCTGATAGTTACTGAGTAGACTCACTGAGTCTACTCAGTAACTATGGTGTCAGTTGTGGTGTCTCTCAGTGATCATAAATGCTTAGCATATTTTTTGTAGGTACACTCAATACTCACTATGCTTTTGTTGTTTATGTAGGACTGGTCGTGGTTTTTAAGTACATAAGTGTGCATGGTTCACACGTTGTGTATTGCATGCTCACTATATATTTGTGAACTTATTCCAATAAGTGTTAGTGTGATTCGTGCCACATTGAGCATACATGTGAGCACATGTGCTTACACTGTGCTGCCGTACAAGGGATATACTAAGAATGTACTTCTGTCGCTCTGCCCAGAGGAAACAACAGCGGATGCCGCACAGATATGATATCACCATCTAAGTACATAAAGTCTTCATAGCCTCACTGCATCCTGCTCAACCTATTTCCTCCGAGTGATAATTTAAACCTCCACCGAATAACACAGAGGCACAGAATCCTTCCAGGACATAACTTCCACTCAGTTACTGAGAGCCAATAATGTGGTTTATGTGATACGGAGGAAGCTAGAGATAGGCAACCAAGTGTGATAAGAGTGTGGTCGAGTGGGGCGACTGCGCTGTGAGTGTGACTGGCCAGTCAGTTGGGTGGTGGTGGATGGAGCAACAAGACGCTACAGGATAGTCTATGTTGGTCCTCTCTGTGACACAACCACCTGCCACTACCGTACACGCACTGTGTATCATCAAAATCTGGTTTCGTGAAAGCTGACAGCTTACCCCCATGTATTAGAAAAAGTAGTTATATGAAATTTTAGTGTATAAACAATTTAAATCCAGCATAATCGCCAATAACACTGAAATGTCGACAGGTCGAAATCAAGTAGACAAAAAAGCGCATATCAGACAAATATTAAGAAAAAACAATTGAAAGTTAATTTAGTTTCCCAAATGTTCTTATTCGTATTAGGTTTATCAGTGATTGTTTATCGTGCTCATCTCAAGGCATTTTTAATAATTTCGGCTGCATGAAAACGCGTAATTAGTTGAAGAGGACTAGTGTGACTTTCCTGTCAGTGATGAGGGCCTCAGGAGTCAGTCAGGTAAGATTATCACTCAGTCTTAAAACATTAACAACTAATATGATCATGTTTTCATACTCGTGTGCTTATTATACATTTTTGGTGAGACTAAACAGACTATCTGTGAATATAGAGTAATTAAAAAACTCTAAAAGAGCTGGAGATAAGTGTCACTGTGTTCCATACACTGACTATGGCAAGGAAATCAGAAAAAAAGAGAATAGCATTATAAACAAGAGCCAGCAATACACAGCATCCATAAGAGACTGAGTTACAATTTCTGGGTACAGTTTCGTGCATCTGTTTATGTGCCTTGCATAATACGAGGATGTTATATGTATATAGATAGAAATAAACCCACACATTATTATTATTATAATCAAAAAGAAGCGCTAAGCCACAAGGACTATAAACCCACACAAAAACAGGATCATAGTTGATCAGGTGAAGTGCTGGTCTGTTTATAAAGCTGTGGCCGAGGTGTGGGATTAATGTGTACTTCCAGTATTCAGGTGTTCTGTCCTAGTGGTTACAGAAAAAGCTCTGGGTCTAGCTTTTAAGATTGTGCATTATTTTTGATGGTTTAATATAACTTCAGCTATTTTCAAGGGAATTTGGAATTAGGTCGCGGGGGCGTTGCCCCCCGGAACACCCTCCTGGTATACAGGTATAGCCAGTAGCACGGGAACTTGTAATGTATTCATGAGCGCTAAGCTCGTAGGGGTTATATTACGGCCAGTTATTTGAAGGTACTCAAGTTTGATCCAACATAGGGGAAGGGAGCTTAAATTTCTTGGATCTAGAGCCCTTCGCCAGTATCAAGGAATTACGACCCTTAAAGGTAAGGGAATATACTGTTGTTATATTTCACGGGGAGCGCTAAACCTGTTGGGGTCATACAGCACTATGGTGAATGGAAGTAGTTATATTCAGTACAAGGAAAGAGCCTTCACCGGCGTCAAGGAACCACGTTTGAAAGGAGAGGCATGATGCAGGTGTGTGTAAGGGAGATAAGTCAGTGTTGGAGTTGAGGCGTAAACTATACCTGGTATATTTATTGTGGTCATCATAAGAGTAATGAATGACCTTGCTACTGGCAAGTCACAGTCGCTCCACATCAAGAAGTGCCCCTTCGATCCCCGTTGGGGAGGGGAATCTATAACCTTCATACCAGAGCCTCTACTCTTTCACGATGCTTGCCCATCGTGCAAAGATCAAGCCTACCAGTGGTGTTATCAGTGACTTCACCAAACTTGCCCTTTCTGCCGCTGTGAAGACCTGCCTACAGGTTAAATTTACAGCTATACTCTCCTTGAAAGACTCCCTCGTTGTCGTCTATACTGACGATCTTGAAGCTTCCAAACTGACTGACGACACTGCTGCGAAGATTCTTAGTGACCGCCAGTTCACCGTCTCTCCTTCACCTTTCCTCCTGGCGAAACGTTCTGTTTTTATCAAACGTCTAGACAAGATCATAACATCCCTATCGACTGGTGATCTGAAGACTTCAATCGAAGAACAAAACTCTTGGTGATCGATTGACAACATCACCAAGATTCCAAACGCATCCTCTATGATCCAAGTCACCTCCAACATCGAAATGGCTACTAGAGCACTTAAGGAACATAAGTGTTTCAAAACCATTTCAAAACCATTCATCACAACTGTCAGATGGCCTAGCCATCTCATACTACCTGGAGTTTACCTGGAGAGAGTTCCGGGGGTCAACGCCCCCGCGGCCCGGTCTGTGACCAGGCCTCCTGGTGGATCAGCGCCTGATCAACCAGACTGTTGCTTCTGGCTGCACGCAAACCAAAGTACGAGCCACAGCCCGGCTGATCAGGAACTGACTTTAGGTGCTTGTCCAGTGCCAGCTTGAAGACTGCCAGGGGTCTGTTGGTAATCCCCCTTATGTGTGCTGGGAGGCAGTTGAACAGTCTCGGGCCCCTGACACTTATTGTATGGTCTCTTAACGTGCTAGTGACACCCCTGCTTTTCATTGGGGGGATGGTGCATCGTCTGCCAAGTCTTTTGCTTTCGTAGTGAGTGATTTTCGTGTGCAAGTTCGGTACTAGTCCCTCTAGGATTTTCCAGGTGTATATAATCATGTATCTCTCCCTCCTGCGTTCCAGGGAATACAGGGAATACCACATTCATCCATAATAAATAGAGCCAGAACGTTTCGCCTACGTCTCTCCCTGTTGGAATTGCTATTCATACTTTCATCCAACGACCGACTGCCCCATTAAGGACAAGAAATTCTGTTCCAACTGCATTAAAGAGGGACACGATTTCAAAGCCTGTTCTACCACTAATGCTACTCCTACCTGCCTCAACTGCAAGGGCACTCACCATATCCTTGCAGTCCTCTAAGGAAGGAAGTGCTGTCTAAGAAACTCAAAGAAGCTAAGAAGAGAAGCCCAAAATCGCCGACTTTTGCCGCCATAACAAAACTACAATGTGACACCAAGAAAATTCTTCAAGCCACACAACAGCCTTCTGTATTTTTCACTGCCCTCTCTCCACTCCCAGACGCGGCTCCCTCAAAGGTGTTGTACTGCATGGTGTATGCTCACCTCGCAAATGCAGCCAACCCATGCACATTCAACACCACCATCAATGAACTATTCAAACTTAACAACTTGCCTGCCTTCGTTTTTCCTGACTGCACACCCTCAGCTGAGATCCTCAGGATTCTTCCTAACATCGTTAACCTCACCACTCCTGCCGACCTGTCTCCTACCTCCCAAGAAGCTGTTCCTGCACCTACCCCAACCTCCCACACCACCGCTCATGCTGCTTCGCCCACTGCCCCCAACCTGATGTTACACCTCCAGTACACCTCGCCACTGTACCTGTCGACCCACAGTCACCTGCTAGCACCATGGTAGACTCTGCTACTGAATACACGTCAGAAGATGAAGATGTTGACGAACCTAGCACACAAACATGGGAAAACCTGACATTCTACTCTGCTCCTTCAAGCACTGACACCATGACTTGCAGTGAACTCTACAAAGGCCTCGGTGCAGGAACTGTCAAGTTTTCCAGTGAGCAACCCCACCAATTCCCACACCCAAGTTCTGGAATTCCTCAAGCCTTTTCGATTCACCTTCTGTAACAAGACAACTTTTCCACCTCTCTAGAAGCAACTTCAAGAGATTTGAGAATGGATCTCCCACAGACCTGCCGCCCTAATCGCGCCAATCAACACCACCAGTATGCTGCCCCCTGATGTTCTTCTCTGCCTGCCATGTCCTGCGATTAACCTGTTGCCAGCTTGTCAAGTCTGCTGGCAATCCAACTTCCACAAGATCATCGCAACTGAGCTTCCTGTTCCTGTTTCTCAAGTCTGCTCCACGATCGCCTAGCTGCTGGGTTAAGCCCTGGCTCTATTTCTGCGACTAAGAACGCTCCTCTCCAGCACTATTCTTCGTCTGTCCCGTCTTCTTTGCTCATCCCATTGGGATCTTACTTGTACGTTTTCGTTTGTTCGTTCGGAGACGGAGGGGGGGTTGGTGGGGAGGAATTGGGGTAGAATGAAATCAAGGAAAAAGGTTGTGGGTAAACAGACGGAGGGGATGAAGATTGAGACACTTATGCAGCATATGGGAATCTATATTCTATATATTGAATAAAGATTCCCATATGCTGCATAAGTGTCTCAATCTTCAACTTGTCGGTTTTTCAAACCATTCATCACAAGACGGAGGGGAAAAAAGGATGAGTGACCTATCCATTCTGGAATGCGAGTAAGTTAAACTGTGTCACCAATTCAGTGAAGAGGTCATGTCATCATGGTGTAGGACCCTTCACAGACCGGACCCACAGGTTACGGTGATGTGACAGAGCCTTGGAAAGCTTTCACATCTAATAAGTAGACCTTGGTAGAAGTCACGATCGCCAGGTGTGCGGAAATAGATTGAGTCAGTGACTCTTTCTTCTGCAGGGGTGATGGAGGCTCCCGATACTGTTGGTGATGGAGGATGTTCAGTGGTTGCTGATTCTGTGAAAGGTTCATTAATGGGTGTTTCGACTGTCGGCGACGCTGCCCTGGTGGGCAGGTCAGCCACAGCCAGGATGTGGCTCGTACGTTGGATTGCGTGCAGCCAGCAGTAACAGCCTGGTTGATCAGGCTCTGATCCACCAGGAGGCCTGGTCACAGACCGGGCCGCGGGGGCGTTGACCCCCGGAACTCTCTCCAGGTAAACTCCAGGTACACGCTGGGGAGTGCCACATCTGTTGGTGGCACCTGGAAAGTAGATGGGGAGCAGATGAAGAAAGAGTATCTCGGCTGATGTTCTCCGGGAAACCATTGCTGGGAGTTTATTCCGCCGGAATGTTTTGTTAATTAGTGTTGAAGAATCTTCTGCTAGCAACATTGTGCACGATCTTGTTGGCTGAGATTTCTTTGAAAACTGAAAGTGCACATCATCAACTGTAATAAATGATAATAAAGATTATTTATTTATTATTTATGTAATGATAACTCTAGATAAGCAAGCCCTTTCGCTTAATTATAATTTTCAAGTCATAACTTGAAAAAGCTCACATATGAGCGAAACGTTGTCGAATAAAGTTCAGCCTTGATTTATATAAGCGTTTTTTGTTTTGTTCTCGTCAGAATTTTGCCTGGCAAGACACTGTTCATGGTGGTAGTGGCGATTCTTAACTGCAAACAACAATTCGTGGTGACAGTGGTGGGGCTGACAGAGAGGTTCGTGCTTGTTATGGCTGTGGTGAGTTCACGTTTGGTGAACTCACTGTTGGTGTGTAATGTGCGCATGTTCATGCTGCAGTCCTGTTGATTCCAATTTCGCACCTTTAATATGTCTTTATTGGGAAATATTTTTATTACTAAATAAAACTGGGTGTCAGCAGTGTGCTGCTATTGTACTTGGAGAACTGTAGAGAAGGACAACACAAGCAGTAATTGGTAGCTCCATTCAGTCAATCTTTACGCCTGTTCTTCTGTACCTTAGCCTTGATCTACAATAAACGAGTCTGGCTCCGTGATAAAG